TGGCGGTGAGACACAGCCTCTGCAGAGCAGCACTCAGAGCCGCGCGCCCCGATGCCAGGACGTGCCGGGGGAGGGCAGCCTGGGCAGGCCGAAGTTGGCTCCGAGGGCACGTGTGGCACCTGCAGCCCCTTCCACAGGCCCCGCCTCGCTGGGCCCGGGCTGAACAAGCCTCATGGAGCCAAGGGCCCTGCCTCCTGGGCGGTGGCGGGTGGAAAGTGTCTGGTGTTTGTGGGTACAGGGACGGGGGGTCTAAGCAGGCCCAGCGTGTATGTGTGTGCTATCTGTGGGGCTGAGGCCTGGCCCCTCCCCCGAAGCAGAGGGGGCATTGCACTCAAGCTGCAGTGGCCTGGGGAGCAACAAATGACGCAACAGGGCCGGGAGCGCGAGCTGTGCTCGAGGGGCGCGTGGCGCAGAGAACCCGTCTAGTGCCCGCTGCCCGTGCACGCGGCCCAGAGGCGTGATTGGATGAGGGGTCAGAAATAGGCCAGCCCCCATGTCACCTAGAACTCGTCCCCCAATGTGCCAGCCAGCCGTGGGGGCCCACCCCTGGGGAGGTGTGATGTAGTGGGGGTACCTTGCTGGTTGCTATGCTGGGGCTGTGGGTGACCCCCACTGGCTGCTGTCTGCAGCACGGCCCAGCAGGGCAGGGGATGAGTCACTAGGCCAGGGTCTCTCAACCCATCCAACCAGCTACCCCCCAGGGAGAGGAACAAAGGAAGGGGGAATGTCGCCCCTGGCTGGGGGGCAGGGCTGGAGGAGAGTTAGTGTCGGTCTGGGAAGCAGGGGAGAAGGAGCTAGGGAGGGGGCTGGGATTGCAGGGCCCAGCCACCCCCCATCTCAAGGGGGGGCACTGAGGCCTCCTAGCCCAGTTCCTGTAACCAGATGCCATCTGTGCTGTGCTGTATGCTGGAGAAGCAATAAACTCCCCTGTTCTACTGGCTGGGGGAGTCGGTTCATGCCACTACAGGGTGCAGGAGGCGGGGGACCCCGACACGCCGTCACAGGAGGTTAATGAGGTGGCCCCAGAAGGGGTGTGAATCAGGAGGTGCTGGGAACGGGCAGCAACCTGATGTGCTCCCCAAAGCTCTGCGCCTTGGCCTCCCTCCCGCTGCAGAAGGAGCAGGTGTGGGGGAGCTTGGCGCCCATGGAGGAGCCTCCTGCTCACGTCCAGGGTGGGCCAGGGGACCACGCAGGGCTCAGACTGGCTGTTCAAGGGGAGCAGGAGTGCTCTGAGCCTTCATGCCAGCACATCACTGTTGCTGGTGCAGATCCCAGCGCTGGTGCTTCGGTTTGTTCTCCCCGACCCTCTGGCCCATGGGCGCACGTTGGTGCCGGCTCTGGCCG